TGTTGGCAGTGACCATCGGTAATAGAATAGGGGTATGTGTTGGTAGTGACCATCGGTAATAGAATAGGGGTATGTGTTGGTAGTGACCATCGGTAATAGAATAGGGATATGTGTTGGTAGTGACCATCGGTAATAGAATAGGGGTATGTGTTGGCAGTGACCATCGGTAATAGAATAGGGGTATGTGTTGGCAGTGACCATCGGTAATAGAATAGGGGTATGTGTTGGTAGTGACCATCGGTAATAGAATAGGGGTATGTGTTGGTAGTGACCATCGGTAATAGAATAGGGGTATGTGTGGGCAGTGACCATCGGTAATAGAATAGGGGTATGTGTTGGCAGTGACCATCGGTAATAGAATAGGGGTATGTGTTGGCAGTGACCATCGGTGATAGAATAGGGGTATGTGTTGGCAGTGACCATCGGTAATAGAATAGGGGTATGTGTTGGCAGTGACCATCGGTAATAGAATAGGGGTACCTTAGTTTCAATATAAACATATATACATGAATAAACCATCATCGTCTTTCATTCAAATTCGATATTTAACGTTGATTGGCTCGAGAGCTTCACATTGTCTACACTAAGATTGCGCGCACAAGTCTCTAAGTGACGTCACAACTGTGACCGCCCACTTATTCAAAATGCCGATTGGATGATGTTGAATTAACTGATTAATATTAATTAGAACTCACGATGATAGCGCCATTTCGTTTCTGGATTGGTAAATTTCTGTCAATCATGTTGATTTATAAATATATATATATAACGCGTGTGCCTTTCACTATACACTAAGCACGTAATCTTGCTTTATAAAATCACAATACATGTTCACTATGATTTGCAGATATTGTAGAGCTCGTTAAAAACGGTGGCAAGAAGCCATTTCGTCCCCAAGTAGAACGTTCATCGGCGCCTGGTATGCCTCATTTACTGTATATAATGGAGAGATGTTTAAGTGAGAATGCTAACCATCGACCCGATACACAAATGTTGATGAGAATGCTACGCTCGGCTAATTATGGAAGGTAAATAGCATATAGAACATATGTAATGCACACATATTGTCCTCAGGGGCGGCGGCACGAAATTGTGCATGCGGGGGCAACATTTTGAAATCTAGACCCTCTGAAACGCTATTTCCTGCAGTTTGAGGGGCAAATTGTGCTGACACAAAGGGTTTCAGCTTGATTTCAGAAGGGCGACGCCCCCATCATTTTTTTCGAGGAGACGACTGGTACTACTGAATGTGTTCCACGGTTATACGAATTAACACAGTACTTCTCTGAGACAGTGTTTTCTACAATTGTGTCGATGAATTCAGTGACGACCATTACTTACATATAAAATCATATCCCTATAGTTTAGTACTAGAGTTTGTATCAAAGTTATCTATTTTCACTAACCACCAATTGACAATTTGTGGAAAATGGAACGCGATAGTTGTTTAGTAATTTTTGTGTTGTGAGTAATAATTTATTTTGATTTTTATAATATTTAATGAAATTATCAGTAAAGACTTTGACATGTGGATTTTGTCACCAGACATAAGTACCGACAGTAGTATAGTGGATATGTCAATCAATAAGTTCCTTTTCCTCGAGATGTCAAATAAATCACTACTTACTTTAATGGCGGCAGTCGTCGTACCGCGTCCTGTTTGATACTCATACTGTTTGGGACTGATAGCGACGTATATAACGCGTGTAAAATACATTGTTTATTTACATGAAATTCGAACACGCGCTGCGCGACGACCACCGCGCTTTAAGCCATCACTTATTTACATTATTTGTAGATGCATGCTAACTGTTCTAATGAAAGCCGACATCCAGTCTATTCAATGTATCTATATCCGTCATTTGTTATCCATTTTTATAGATATTTGTATTGACATTAGTCTAATATTTTGTTGTATCCACTCCACATGAAATGATAAAACATTGTACTAGTAATTGGAATTGTTTTTCACCGAAAAAAGATTTGTCGTATAATTTTTTTCAGACATGCTAGCATAATGGATAACATGGTTTTTATGCTCGAAACGTATGCCAATAACCTTGAAGATCTTGTCGCCCAAAGGACAATGCAACTCACGGAAGAAAAGAAAAAAACGGACGAACTGTTACATCGAATGGTACCACCGTGAGTATTAACTGTGTGTGAACTGATTCGACATTATATCACTGTTCAATAAATCATAGAAGGTGGATAATTCACAAACCGAATACAGACGTGATGAGGCTGTGTAATAAATAGATAGTAGGGTTATAGTCACAACCGGACATGGCATGTGGTGGTACGCACACCAAAATATTTGACATGAAACGTTTTGTTTTACAGATCGGTGGCTGAACATTTAAAGTGCGGGAAATCTGTGGAACCAGAAAGCTTTGACGACGTCACAATATTTTTTTCTGACATTGTTGGTTTCACGAGCCTATCAGCTATGAGCACCCCTATGCAAGTCGTGATGCTGCTTAACGATTTGTACTCTTTGTTTGATGGCATTATATCAAGTTATGACGTATACAAGGTGAGATATTTCATGGCAGTATATCAAGTTATGACGTTTACTAGGTAAGATATTTGATGGCATTATATCAAGTTATGACGTATACAAGGTAAGATATTTGATGGCATTATATCATGTTATGACGTATACAAGGTAAGATATTTGATGGCATTATATCAAGTTATGACGTTTACTCGGTAAGATATTTGATGGCATTATATCAAGTTATGACGTTTACAAGGTAAGATATTTGATGGCATTATATCAAGTTATGACGTATACAAGGTAAGATATTTCATGGCAGTATATCAAGTTATTACGTTTACTAGGTAAGATATTTGATGGCATTATATCAAGTTATGACGTTTACTAGGTAAGATATTTGATGGCATTATATCAAGCTATGACGTATACAAGGTAAGATATTTGATGGCATTATATCAAGTTATGACGTATACAAGGTAAGATATTTCATGGCAGTATATCAAGTTATTACCTATACAAGGTAAGATATTTCATGGCAGTATATCAAGTTATGACGTATACAGGGTAAGATATTTCATGGCAGTATATCAAGTTATGACGTCTACTAGGTAGGATATTTGATGGCATTATATCAAGTTATGACGTATACAAGGTAAGGTATTTCATGGCATAATATCAAGTTATTACGTTTACTAGGTAAGATATTTTATGGCAGTATATCAAGTTGTGACGTTTACTCGGTAAGATATTTGATGGCATTATATCAAGTTATGACGTTTACAAGGTAAGATATTTGATGGCATTATATCAAGTTATGACGTATACAAGGTAAGATATTTCATGGCAGTATATCAAGTTATTACGTGTACTAGGTAAGATATTTGATGGCATTATATCAAGTTATGACGTTTACTAGGTAAGATATTTGATGGCATTATATCAAGCTATGACGTATACAAGGTAAGATATTTGATGGCATTATATCAAGTTATGACGTTTACTAGGTAAGATATTTGATGGCAGTATATCAAGTTATGACGTATACTAGGTGAGATATTTTATGGCATTATATCAAGTTATGACGTATACTAGGTGAGATATTTTATGGCATTATATCAAGTTATGACGTTTACAAGATGAGATATTTGATGGCATTACTGAGTATATCAAGTTATGGCGTATACAAGGTAAGATATTTGGTGGGCATGGAAGCTGTGATGTTTTTCAATAAAGTAAACTTACTTACGAACACGTGTGTATATGTGCTATTTATCCGTTTTCAACGCATGAACCTTCCCCACGAACCCTGATATGTCGGTTGTATGTTTAGATCCAGACATCCGCGATTTAATAAAATTAAGAAATTTCAATATATTTTACCGGTAGTATATAAAGGTACACTTTACAAAAATACCCATGATATATTAATTATATAATTCATTATACAACCTGGACAAAAGAAATTCTTATTTTTCCTTGATATAATGATATGTTACTTTATGCGGAAATCCTAGTAAATGAGATTTTAAATAAGGGGGATTGTCATTTTTCCATTAATACTGTGCAACGAACTTGAAACAAAATTAATCGTTCGATCCAAACGACCTGCGTCCTTGGCAAACAAGTCTTATGGCCCTGGTGTTTCTGAGCGAAAATACCAGCGAAGATTCCCGGGGAACAAATATTCATGCTGTATTTCACTTTGATGTGGGAATAGGTGACAAAGGTCAAAACAAATATTTGGGGGAATCCGAAAACGTAACTTACTGCACGTGAATTTCACGAACTTGAAACAAAAGAAATCGTTCGATCCAAACGACCCGCGTCCTTTGAAATTAAGTCGGAATGTAATGCAAGTAATGCAATATCACGACGAATGTTCGCCTATTCTTCCATGTTTATTTGGCGATATGAATGATTCAGCAGAGCGCTTAGATAGGTTATTTATTAGAGGCGCCCGGGTAATTTAGCGTGAATGGCTTTCCGAGCGAAAAATGTCGGGGGTAAAAAAAAAGAAACTATTTTCGCCCATTCATCCATTTTCGGTAGTTTATTTATTAGAAGCGCCAGAGAACCAAAATTTGGGACGTGAATTATTTGGACGACAATTATAACCAAGAGGTGAGAGACTACTTACCGCGGCGACATGCAGCTACGGTGACTGCGACCCCAATCATATTTTAATTTTACTAAGCTAGGGAAAAACCCGTGTTTATGCTATGAGAAAGTGCAGATCTTGAACGTATTTTAGTGGGAATACATTTTTGCTTATCACGGCGAACGCATTTCAATGCGAGTGAATTTCCCTACTAACTTCTCTAATTGTATGCGGTGTCCAATATGGCGACCAAGGGCAAAAACATTTTTATACAAATTAGCTTAAGTTAGCGATAGGTACATGAATTTGAATCAAAATGATATCGGCAAGACAGCTACAGCCACTGAAACGTTATTGAAGGCAAATGAACACGTCAGGCAAAAAAGTCGTGGCGTAAAATTGAGGCACATACCATTTTGACGCTTGGGGGGAATGGAAATCAGTTGATTTGAGGGTGTCACAATAAGCGAGGGAGCAAATCGTGTTTATGCTACGAAAAAATGAAGACCTTGAACGTACTTTTTGGACTTTAGTACTAAGTCATTTTTGTTTGATTACCTAAGGCTTTTAGGTTCATGTGCTGCAAGTTACAGAGGACATACCAAAGCGGCCGTCCCTCAGCAAATAATGAAGCAAAGGAATTTTCGATGTCGAAATCGCAAAACTCCCCCTTTTTACGCAAACTGGAGAGTTCGAATTACTAAACGAAGTACAGGACAACGAAGCTTAGATATCCAAGAACCAACACATACAAAAAAATATCTCAAAAGTGAATATTCGTGGTGCATTTTACCTCTAACCGGACCGGAAGTGGGATTTTGTTAGTAATCTAAATATCCAAACATATTTTAGTAAAAGGTAGTAATCAAGTTGTGACGTATACTAGATAAAATATTTGATGGCATTATATCAAGTTCAGCCGTGGCGAATGTTTTTTTTTTATTACTTGAACAGAACTAAGCTATGATTGTATTTCTGTTTACCAAGGTGGAAACTATCGGCGATGCCTACATGGTAGCCAGTGGTTTGCCCATCCGTAATGGAAATAGACATGCTGGTGAGATAGCTACAATGGCACTGGATCTGTTGAGCGCTGTGTCCAAATTTACAATACGTCATCTTCCACACAAAGTATTACAGCTTAGGATTGGCATTCATTCAGGTACTATGAGGACGTCCTCATGCATTCAGGTACTGTGAGGACGCCCTCATTCATTCAGGGGTTCATTCGACTTGGAAAGTCATGATTAGGCTACACCGATTTAATTTTATGGATGACATCCGCGCGCGCATTAGTTTTCGCCTGTTCTCAAAAAAAACCTCCGATGACGAGTCTCCACAGATCGGTTTTCTGTTCGGAACTTGCCGACTCATATTGTCGCAAAGCGCCGACTTGTCGTAAAACTCGTTTTATACTACCTCAAAACCAAACTCCGCACAGTTAGATGCGCGTTACGTAAAGCGCAAAGACCTATGGGAAAGAGATTGCCTCAAAACATGCAAATTTTGCCATAAGTGATCCAACATGGCGACCACACCACCAAAATACGTGAGCATAAAAGTTCAGAGGTGAAACGGAGGGATTGTTGTAGACTGGTACGCAATTGACGTTGGCCAGGGAGACGTTTACACAGCTATACGAGAGGTCGGTAGCGGCAAGCGAGTTTCGCCCAGACAACTTTGAGAACATATTGTCCAGAGTGGCTGTCCCGCGTTTCTTCTGCAATGATGAGAGAAATGGGAGAGGAGTGGAGGTGTATGGTGGCATAAAAGTCGGTCAGGCGACAAATCAGTTCGGTTGCTTTGTCTGCATTGAAGTCGACAAAACTGCAACGAAAGCAGCAGAAGCTCCTTGGCCGAAGTCCCCTTATTATTTTTTTTTTCATTTTCTGATTCAGATAATTTGCTTGCACACACATTCAGTAATATTTTG